TCGTCCTGCAGAAGCAAAGAGGAGATCGCGAATGCCCATGTGCACCTATGTGTTATATGTGCACACGCGAGCGAGGAGCGAGTCTGTTATGTGTCGAGAAGATGCCGCTCGCGAGCTCCTGCTGCTGCAATCAGAGTATCGGCGAGAGGCAGGCAGGCATGCATCGACTCTCGCAGTCCCCAGCTAATCGAGCCGATTGCCGCTCGTCTCTTTTCCTCTCTCTCTCTCTCTCTCTCTCTCTCTCTCTCTAGTGCGCACCGCGAGGCTTATAATATATGGCACGCACGCAAGTGCATATTATAGCGCATGTAGGCCTAGCTTCGCGTGGCGCGCGCGGATGTATGCAAATGCTGTACATACTCGTACGCTCGAGCTGAAGAAGAATCGCTATCACTGTGTGACCCAAGTAACACCTGTGCCGATCGATCCTCTGCGTTACCTCCACGCCTGTGTCTTGACTCTTGTCTTTCTCTTTTTGTACCGCGCCTCTCCCTCTTTCTTCCTCTCAGTCTCTCTCTCGACGGCCACCTCGCAATCATCTTCGCGCGAGCATGCACGGCCCGTAAAAATTCCATTGAATCTCTCTCTGTCTCTCTCTCGGACGAGCTGTTTCGCGCGCCGTAGTCTTGCCTCGCTCTTCTTCGCGGAGGACTTTCATCGAACGTTCGAGGTCGTTTGACTTTAGAGACACCAAAGATCGACTCCAATTTCAGCATTGCTTTAGTGATTTTAATAACACAATCGATCCACCTGTCTCATCGATCAGCATAATTGAAATCCAAGCGCGCAAAGTATGATGCACTTCGTTCGATTGATCGAATGGCTCAGTGGATTTGAGTCAAACGAAAGAGCTGATTTTGTCCCGAATTATCGCTACCTGTATACTCGCACTCGCAAAAATCAAGAACGATGCGTGCGTTCAACTGGTTATATAGAAAGAGATAACAATGTTTTATCTTTATTTATTTTTATTTTATGTATTTTTTTGCCAGCTAGTCTACCTTGAATGGCCAAGGCAGTGGCGTCCTCTGGGCCAAAGTACGCAAAATATACGACCACCGCGCTAATGTGGCTGTATACTGAGTTTGTATACAGGTATTCCTCTTACTGCGGAATCGCACGCACGCACATACACACGACGCACATTATTCGTACAAGGAAAAAACCTCTGCGGATCCACCAACGAAGATTTCGAATTTCTCTATACTTCCGCATATACGACGCTGTATGTTCCTTTTTGTGGCTTCGTTCTCGTGGACGTCTTGTTTTCGAGACCAACGGCCACATCAGGAATATTTTTAGCCGGTACGATTCTTTGCATTATAAAAAAAAAAAAAAAACGTTTTACATTTTCGAATTGATACTATAATTGAGCAAACTATTTCTCTACACCCTTACTCGTAGTTATGATGTATTGCAATGTATTTTTGTTTTGCTCCGATTTCATACGTAATAGTTTTGAAACAAAGAACAAAAATTACATCGTAGCAAAGCTGAAAACAAGTGACAAACATGCTATACAAAATCACGAACAGAATAGCAAGCTTCGCGCTAAAAGTGCTGTTGTTTCGACGGTATATATATAATAATATAATATAACTGACGTTGCGCGCTGCAAAAAGTAAACACACTTCGAAGACGTTAAAATTAACGTGTACACGAAACTTCTCGGAGTATAGATTAGAGACTTATTAAAGTAGCCTACATAAAAAGTTCATAAAAATCGAAGTAAAGAGCTGCTGGGATGTATTCGCGGCGTTGGAAGAAAAGTGCACATTCTCCCCGTGGCAAGCGAACCCACTTATCTAGTGTCCATAATGGTCCAGCATCTGTTGGCGTAGCTAATGACGTACAGGCAAAATTTTTATAACCCGCTCCGTTTATATTATATATATGCACCATGTATGTGTAGTAGGTATACGCGAAGTCGAAGGCGAACGGTAGAAACGACATAGAAAAAGAAGCCAGTGGCGAGGTAGAGGCAGAGGTAGAGAGAGAAGTAGAGAAGTCGAACGAGAGAGAGTGCAAGGAGTCGAGAGTCGGGACGGATGTGCATTCCGCAGACGGATCTTCTTCTGCTTTGCTCGCCGCTCGTCGTTCGGCATTGTATATTATAGCGCGTGTGCGCTTCGGCTGATTAGGGCGTAGTAGCGGGCAATCCTGCGCAAGTGCACACACGCACGCACGCATCCTTGCGCTATACAATGCAAAGGAGTCGCCCCAGCGACCGCTAGAAGCACTGGCTTCGACGCAATCAATTATTCATAGCGCGATGATTCATCGTTCAAGTTTTTGACGTTAGATGCAGACTCCTGGCCAATCGTATCGCACTTTTTTGCCAGCACTTTTTCGGCTACTTAATCAGTGAACATGAAATAAAACAATTTAGACAGGATCGATGAGACCCGACGACGAATCTTCGCTGCTCCGTTCAAGTCTAGAGCAATTTCTGTTGATTGCACAATACGCAACTCTGCGTGCGCGAGTCATTGAAACGTCAGACAGTTATTTGTTACTGCACGAACAGTTATCTATCACGAACACACATATATGTGTGTGCAGCTCTGATTTGTTTCGAAAACGCTTTGATCCGAGCTGTTTGACTTGCGTGCTCTTTCTCTCCCTGTATACAGCTCTCAATGCCGCATGTCTCTCTCAATTAGCTTGGCAGCAATTTAGAGCTCCAGCCATTGAGAAAACTTCGTTACTCTAGGCAGTTATTTGATATTCAATCAATTAACGATACTTTGTAGGCTTACAGTTCCTGCAGCCAATGCCGTGCATAAATAGTTTATCTATGGTTATCTATTACCTGTCGCTTTCAATTAATTATCATCGATATTCACTTTTTTAAATCTTAAGTTTGTTTTTACTAGTACATCTCAAATTTATGTTTCCTAAAAAGTATTTCACAAAGTTTCGTGAAGAAGTGGTTAGGAAATTTTTAAATAATTCATCAAATTGTTCATAATACATTACACCATACATTCTTTTATATTTTTTCAATAATATTTATATATAATATATATTTATGTCGATATACAATTTATAATAAATCAAACATTGCATCTGCATGTTGTGTAAAATTAAGTTATACATATTACAATAATGGATTCTTCGTTTTCATAGCTTGACATATATTCCTTTATTTTTAAATTAATTATCATCTGACACCAACAACTTACCCAAAATTTTTTATAAATATCTTCAAGCATAAAACATCAATAGTAAATAATCATTTTTTATTTGTTTATAAATTCAACATTTGTCCTTGCGCCTTATAAGATCTAAGTGATTTGACAATAATAAAAACTAATTCATCAGACTTTTCACATCATACATCATGCATACAAGTGATTTAGGATATTTAAAAACAGTAAAAATATATAAGTGTTGACAAATTCTCATATTAATTATAAAATATTATAAGTAGAGGCAAATCCTAGAGTAGTCGCAGTTTAACATCGCATCATTTGCAACATTCAATACATAACACTGTTATACATTACATCCCTAATGAATGGAGAATGGATAACTAACTTTTGCATATTCTTGATTACATTTCAAAATTAATATCCTTACTGTGACATTCCGTTGGAATCTTTATATACCAATTGGAATATTTTGTTTGAAAGGATGGTTTTCATTCGTTAGATTTTTATAAATTCAGAAATGAGTGAGACATATTGTATAGATTTCGATTGTTTTGTACCAGAGGATACTAGTTTAATTGCAGTAAGGATTTGAGAATTAGAATCGTCTTTAAAAATTGTATCTCACTGAATTCGTAAAAGATTGTTTCAATTTCTATTTGCCTGACTGAATAATACAAGTTCAAAATTTGTTTACAATACATTTTAAAACTTATCAACATTGGGTTGCAGTAAATAAAGTTAATTTTTTAATAAATGCGCTTGCAAAATTTTACCAATTCATGAATTTATCATAGATGGGATGTCAATCATCCCGCTAGGCCTTTTAACGAAACATTCTCTTTGATCAAGTTGAAAATATACTTCAAGTGAGCAGAGCATGAAACGAATATGAATTTTAATTGCTCGTTTCATAACTTTGTCTCAATTGAGACAAATAATACTAATAGACCAACTTTTCAGTGACTTGATATTCGTACTAATTTTCAAAGTTATAATATTTCACCACGTGTTCGCTGCGATTGAGAGCAAAAATTCATTTTAATTGCAGATTCAAATTATTCCGATAAAATAACTAATACTCAATCAGTCCAATATTAATTGTGTCCAAATATTATTTGTGTGTTACGTGGTCCACTTTATTCCAGCTTTTTAATTTTTAAGACACATAATTTTTGTTCTTTCGTGGTTTAATATTGAATTTCAGATAAAATATTTTTAGATAAAAACATATGGAAAAGTACATTTCTAATATTGGAATATTAATAATTTCTTTTCAGAATTCTAAATTGTATTTATCTCTTTGGTAGCATTTATTCTAATGTTCGAATATTTTTTTATTGGCAATTGATGACAAAAAAACAATTCAGCTTTTTATGAATACTCACAAAATATTAACAACAGCCACTTTATAATTCCAAGCATTATTTCGTATTATGGGGCACATTAAACCCCTCGCATTAAAAAATAAATCCATTACACATTTCAAATAGCTTTTGTTTGTTACATTTAACGAAAAGTATAATTACAATTATTTTACGATATTCAACAAACAATAACGAAGAAGAATCGGTTTAAATTAATATTTATTAAATCTGATAAAACTTAACTTGAAAAAATTTTTTTTTCGATTTTTTTTTTTAAAAATCCATTAATTCATTGGCATTATTATAAAGATAAGTCTTAGAAATAGAAAGCTCATGAAAAAGATTGTACTCATTATTTTTACCAAAAAGAGAATTATCTAAAATGTAAAATATTGTTTATAATGTTTAAAATTACGATTTTTTATTGGTCGTTTTACTACCATGAAATTTCATCAAATTATTCACAAAAAATATACAGATTCATTGTTAAAAACTATTATAAATAAATTAGACTATATAATTATATATGAATACATTGTATGTATCAACGTATTTCACAATAAAATTGAAATCATTTATAAAAAGAATCTATCGTAGCAAAGAGAGATTTTTCATAAAGTTGTTAATAATTTTTGATTCACTTCGATCGCACCTTTCACCCATTAGTGCTCTTAAATGTTATGACTATTTTTTTAGAGGACATTGCATTTTTATTTGTAGAATTGAATGGATAAAGAATATGGATCCTATTGTTGAGTAAGAACAATCGTTAGCGAAGGATCTGAGAATCAAAAAGTTTTTTCATAAACTTTTACTATTTTACTGGAGTGAATAATGCTATTATTTTTTAATTAATCTATCACAATGATTCTTCTATGTTTCTTGAGCTTAACGTTCCATTTTAAATAATAGACTTTGAATGAGGAATATATTGAACGGAAAAAAATTGTAAATTGCCCATAATAAGTAATTATCTGCCTGAGGAAGAATTCCATATATGCTGTTTGAACGTACTGCGCATTCTGCATTCTGTTGCTTAAGCTGGTAACTCCCTCTCTCTAGAAAGAAACCAAACATTCATTGGTTCTGATTTACCTTTCATGATAATTGGCCCTCTATATTCTAGCAGAAATTGTGGATCCTGATTTTCCGGCATACACAGGTACCTGCAATCGAGGCAAAAGATTAAATCGATGAATTTTATTATAATAAATGTTTTAAATGAATAAATAAAAATTTTCAACTTTTTTAGTAAAAAAATAAATCGATTATAAGCAAAGAATATCCCAACTGAAATTTAATATGCGAGGTAATGCACTCGGCTTAAGATAATACTAAGACTCTGTCTAATGTCAATGTCTGGAACTGAAAAACTATCGGACGAACGTTAACCGTGAAATAGAGAGTAAGGGTAAAGAAGCCCTAGAAGAGATGCTAATGCCGATAATTGAATTATAGGGTCATGTATCACCGGTTGTTTTATCCTGTCGCGCGGCGGCGTCTCATTCTCGTGCCAGACGCGGTTGCATTAAAATTGCTAAAAGTTTAAATTGACTCGTTTTATAAACGATAGTAATTCATAATAATAACAATCCATCATGGAGGTTCTTATAGACTGTTATTTCGATCGGTTATTCGAGGGCATGGAGAGGAGCAGTCTCGCGTCTCGACACCGTAGACGGCAACTGGTGAAGTTTTTTTCCGATGTAATTAATAGCTGTGCAGAAGGTAATAAAACCTCTTTATGATAATTACCCGTACTTGTTGAGATAAATTACTTTGCTGCACAATAAAATCGATTGAAACGCGCACGCACGCGTCATATACATCAGCTTATGGTGCTGGGTTGAACGATTTTTACTTTATGAACTAACCTTCGTTTCATATTTATGTTTTTATTATTATTTTTCCGTGATTATATAGTTATCGGCGATGTTGCTATAGCGATTTATCGAACCATTAGGAAAATGAATTGGCTGAATTAAATTGGTATTCTCTGAACCCGTAAATAGGATTTCGAGGCATAAAGATGAAAATTGAATGAAGCCGTAATTAAAAGTTGCATTTTTATTCGTGGAACAATTACATTAGAGAGAGGAAAAATGAGAGAGCATGTAATGGAATACTGTAGTGCTTTAACGAGAAATTAAATTCCTCGCGGAATTTCAGAAATATTCATTTTTTAAATGAATTTCCAGCGGAAGAGCTTGATAAGGCCGACGTGTGCGAGCGCATTGTGAGGGCGGCTCTGCGCTACCACACCATTTCAATGGCCGAGAACGGCCTGGTCTGTATGCTCGGCAAATTTCACAATGTGCTGTACGTCGCGGCCAAACTGTGCTATGACTGGAAGCTCGAAAATAACGCCCTCGTGGCCAAAATTCTGGACGACATGTTCTACTGCGAGAAGACCTTCGAGCGGATTTTCGTCGGGGCGATTTTCGGCACGAGGGTCACGCACTTTCTCACGGGCTGGAAGAGCGATTTCGACGATAGGGACGATAACATCAAGGCTCTGATTTATTTCCTCGATCACGCCGCCGACGCGAGGCTAGAGTTCTTTTGCCAATCGATATCTTCGCAGAGGAGGTTCGTTTAAATTATTGAAGAATTGAGTATTTAGCCTGACCTAAATCGAACGCTTATCGTCTTCTCGTCGCAGATGGTCTATTCGAAAATCGATATTTTATCTTAAAAAGTAAAATAAAACTGTTACATCCCGCGGAACAGGATTGCTCTGTAATTTAAAATCTTTCCGAAACTTTAATCTTATTTTTAATTTAATTAGTAAATTGAATTTTTAATTACACCTGCTTTCGAGTGTCATTTTTTTCATGGTAAATTTTTATGCCAGGGAAGTTTGCCTTACTTTTTTCCTAGTTTCGGGAATATGATAATTTGCATAAATTTGCGTCATGGGGTTGTTTCTAAAATTACAATTTGCTACTTAAAAGTTTTGGGGAAAAAAGTAGTTTACCGTGAGCCTTTGAAACCTCGAGAGTAGAGAAAAATTTAATTTATAGAAACACGAGATTATTTCGATACTCTCGAGAGTGCCAATGATTCAAGAGTCCTTGGTATTTGTTCGGTATAGCTACTCGATGACCTGATTCGGACTCGAAATTCGGGATCGCACCAAGTCACGCGTTATTTCGAGACAAAAAATTAGAGAAATACGTTCGAGCGGGTCGAGTTCGAGTAGTAGTTACACGTAAACTCATTAGATCCGAATCGAGAGAAAGAAACGAAATGAAAGTTTGGTAATTTCATCAGGTTCATCGACGTGCCGATGGAGTCGTACGGACAAGTGCTGCCCCTGAGAGTGGCCGTGCAGCACGGGGCACCGGACATACTGCTGGTGATGCTGCGCTACGGCGCCTCGACCGCCATGGACGACATCCCACCGGAGCCACTCGAGATTCTGCTGGCTCGCCTGGACGAGTTCGAGGAGGCGAGCCAGTGTCCGGCCGCGCTGCTGCTCTGCCTGCGCATACTGCTGCGCACCGTGCCAGTGGTCGAGCTCAAAGTGCCGGAACACCTCGTCGAGGGCTGTGGCAGCCCCAAGGTCCTCGTCTACGAGCAGTACCCGAATCTCGAGCTGTGGGACGTCATTCCGGCCGAGCGCTCGGGTCGCAAGCCGGCCGAGCTCAAACACTTGAGCAGGTGCCGCATCAGGCAGTGTCTTTACGACAATTACGCGCTGCCCCACGGAATCAGGCATCTACCGATACCCACCAGATTACAGGACTACGTCGATCTTCTCGAAGACTGATAATGCTTTCGAGCGAGAGCCCGGAAAGTCGTTCGTGTACTTTGACTATATCGATGCACAACTGAGACTTGTTTAAGGAAACAACCGCGTTCGATTCTAAATTTTTACACCGAATATAATACGTATAAAACAAAAAAAATGTGATACGACGTGCCAAATATAAGATTGTAAATAAATGCTTTATAAGGACGAAATGATAATAGGAAAGCTAATAAAAAAATAGTAAATTCATAAATTAATGTCATGCTTTAACTAAAACGAAATGATTCGCGCTAGTGTAAGAGGGTGCAATTTCTCGTATGATTTACATCTGCAGCGGCATTAAATGAGAATCACGTAATGCATGTTTACGACCTCGTTTTGGACAATGTTCCAGTTGTGTTGTTTCTATTATAGCCTTGCAAAGACGTGTAACTTTACATGAATGCGGCTCTATGTATGCATGCGCGCATGGACTGTATACATAGAGCTGCGCCGTGTATATATATGCTGCTCGTCTCACCTGCAAGCATAAAATGCTCGAGGGCACTTGCTTATTCTACTAGCTTTCAATTGTACAAACTCGTTATTCTTTCATCCCAAGATCCACCTACACTTTACACTATTTCTTGTTGTTTTTTTTTCCTTTTATTTTCTTTTATATTACACACACTGAGCGCGTTCGCTATCTTTACCGAATTACTTAGCGCAGCTTCTCAAGAAGAAACCTCGTATTCTTTATTTTATCTCCGTAGAGAAATCCGAAGAATTAACACAGAGAAGAAGATTTTTACTTATTTTATAGTTGTAAATAATAAAGGCTCCCTCTGCAAAGCACTCCTTCAAGTCCCATCGGACGCTCTATCTTTTTCGGATTCAACTCATGTCACCAGAGACCGACAAGGTCAAAAAAGTCAATTGTACAAGCCGCAGGCGCTGCTATATACTCAGTCCTGGACTTTGAAACGAAATCTGTACAGTGTAATGCTACTTATGCATCCCGCTATTTTTCGTCCGCTTTTTTTCGATGTAACTCTAGCCAAAGCGAAACTATTTTTTTATTGCACAGTCGTACGAAAAAATATATTAAAAAAGTTCGTATATCCATGGAGGCGTGTGTGAAGTGAATTGAATAAATTTAAAATACCAATAGAAAGGACAACCTTTAAAAAGCAGTCTTGTACTTACAAGCAGGGAGCGAAAATTTAAAAGTTAAATTCAAACATCGTGTGTAATTTTAAAAGCTTAAAGCTCGATAGAATTTTTCTGTTGGTTATTTTTTGGATCGATGCAAGATAAACTCGAAAATAAATAAATCATGGTAAATATTTAAACCCCGAGGTATTTACGTTGTCCAGCTTTTCGTTTCGTAAATACACGTTAGAAAATTCGATAAAAGTTTTAATTATAAAACGAGTTTCAAACAAATTTAATCAAACATTTGAAACTATAAATAACTAAAATGAATAGTAATTAAAAAAAAAATTTTTAAAATTGTAAAATCGTAATCCAAAGTCGAAAGTACGTGGATTAAAATATTTATAACAAAAGACAAACTCACCTGTAAGCATCTTCTGAAACATTTATTTTGCCAGGCTCGCCGGTCGTCTCTGTCCGACTGGTTAAATTCACAGTATTGCCAAATAGACAGTAGCGTGGCATGCGATGGCCAATTACTCCCGTTACTACCTCTCCGCTGTGGATGCCAATGGTTATTTTCTAAAAGGCATTAAACGACGAAATTCCATTATCCCAGTATAGGCAGTACAGTTTGATGCAATGCATAAGAGGGGTAGAGGGTTATATTTGGATAAGCGCGAAGTTTGTCATCCGAGCGAATCGAAGACGCGACGAATATCCGACTGTCAGACGACCCGGCGGAAATAGCCCGATCACGGGATTGTCAAACGCTATTTTTGCAATAGGAGAGAGATGCGATACGAGAGTAAAGTTGGAGTTTTTTCAATAAATAGTTTTGAACTATCCGCGCATCGATCAGAACAACAAGCAAACAATTTTAATGCATAAAAATGGATTCTCCTCTTTTCCGGATAAAAATTAAATGATCTCTGTATACGAAAAGTATAAAAGTTAAAAAAACTTCGACTATATGTCATGCTATACGATCCATCATTGAATTCTCTACGGAATTACAAACATATGACATTCTGAAATTACGTACATTGCGCCGTCTAAAATCGATTGCGAAAATATGAAATTTCAATAGGGTGTTCGACAAATATTTCAAGAATATCATTTCTCGCATTACTTACGTCGATACTTGAAAATCATAATGTTTACCACGTGTGCACTTGGTAAAATGTTCAAATATCTGCGAGCGAATGCGCCGAACTTCGTGAGTACGTTTGTGCAACGGAGGAAGAAATGTAAAATAAACTTCGATGCATCTTAAATATAAATTTTCTCGACTGACCTGTTTTTTAAAGTTCGAAGTTTTCGAAATATATTTCTAAAAAAAGGTATTTCAAAATAGAAGTTTCGGCTATCGCGATCAATAACAGATAAGATAACATTTTTCTTAGAAATGTCAATAAGAAATCGTTATTTTTTCCCAGATTTGAATATGCCCTGAGTCATTCTCGAAAAAAAGTCTCAAAAAAAAACTCCTTAATGCACATTTGGAATAAATTTTGGAATTGATGCATCGAACGCGGGCATACTCCATTGGTCATTACGAAAATGCTGGATGGTTGAAATAAAAAAGGAAACATTGAAGGGGCGTATTTTTCAGACTAGTTGCACGAGTACCACTTCATAATAAAAAAAAGGGGGAAAAATTACCAAAAAAGTAGCAAGTATCAAACGGTGGAATTAGCAAATAATAGCTCGATCGAACGAATCAGCATCAAGTGGATTGGTCGTCCAATGTAAACTGTGCCAGAGTCGAAAATTTATTCGCGTATATAGCGTCGGAAGGAAATCAATACACTCGCACACACGTGCAAAATGGTGGGGTGCTTACCACGGGCTTGCCATCAATCGGCACCTCGGCTGCCAGATCCATCATATCGAGGGCCAGACGTGCTATGCAGCGCGCATGGCATCGGCAGGGCTCGGGCAAGCCACTCACAGCCATGTACTTGTCGCCGACGGTCTCGACCTACAAAGAAACATACGAAAAATTTCGAATATCTTTATTTGCTTCTGGTAATAAATAACCCGTGCGTCGTTTTGCTGCTACATTTTACGGTCCGGGCCCGCTGGCGAACATACACACACGCACACACACACACACACACACACAAACATGCTGCACGTATTATATTATTATAGCTGCACGAGCGCGAGCCGTGCGGAATTTTCAACGCAGTGCTCAGCCTCTCTTGACGTGCGACAACGTACGACCACTGAATTAATATCTCCCACGAGTAAGAAAGAACAGCTTGTCACTAGGGTATAATACATCATCGTTTATATATATTGATTATAAATGACGCTATTTTTAACGGAGGTGCATTCGAAAAAAATTTCGTCACGCGAGATCTCGGCCACCGTTGAAAAAATAATGGTTCATTAAAAAAAAGAGCAAAAAAATGCTAGGAAGCCATCACAAAAATTCGCGAATTAAAACGCATAACGCAATAATACACCGGACATAAGCGCATTACGCTCACTACTTGAAATATGGTCAAAGCATCCAGTGGGATACATTCATCATGCATTCAGAATTCGAGCTAACACGCGCGCGTATACATACCATTTATAATGAAATGTAGCTACGATCACGTATCCAGTGGCAGATTGAGCCATATACATTTATGTGCAATTTTTTATGCATTGTACTCGCTCACACACACGTGAGCAAGTTTCGTAACAACGAGCCGTGAAAAACATCGCGCGCGTTCTGTAATCATTTGCCGTGTATGCATCAAAATTTGTTTACCCTCGCGCGCGCAGCACTAGCCTGACCTGTCTCTCTGTGTTTTATGTACACGTTGTTATTTAATTTAAATCTTTGAAAGTCTGAGTAAGCAAGTAAATTCTTGTTATAAAATTCCGGCGGCGCAGTATCCGATTGTCCACTCATTAATCCGCATTCATTCCCATTCAAAGAATGAATAATATAACAATTAGTCGGGAGAAAATGTATTATTTAATTAAAAGTTTTTTCGATGTTTTTCATGCTTCATAATAAAAAGGCTTTGCCATTTTTTCGCAATGCGAACAATCTGTATACGCGTGTGTACGTGTGAAGTGGCTGAAAAAACATATACAATTGACCATTCATCGGAAATAATGACGTTCATTATCATTAATTGCATGTTGTAAAATTTTAAATCCATTGAAAGATGTATTAATTTCAGCCATTAATTTTTTTCTTCTCAATAACATAATGCGATAATAAAAACAATAGCAATCAGCAAGCATCCATTGCGAAAATAAATTTCGTTTACTGAAGCTGTATAGAAAAATCGACGCACCTTGTAGACATTGGGATTTTTCATTGGATCGGTGAGTACGTCGAAGGCAATGTACAGCTCGTTGAGCATATTGACAATCTTCATGGCACCACTTGAGTCGGAATGCGCGGCGCAGTATGCACTGAAGCCGACGATGCCAGAAAAGAGAAGGGTCACGCAGTCGTAGCGTTTGGCTGGCACCGGTCGCGAGTGTCTCAGCTCGTTTGCCACCGAGGCCGGCAACACCGAGTACAACAACCTATGTAGAGCGGCCCGCCACCAACACAAAATGTCTATTACTTATCTTCCTTGGCAAAGGATTATCTTCAAGAGTGAATGATTAGGTTACTTCCTACCCGAAGTGTCTTGAAGTGAATAAATCGAGTTCGAGTATTTTTCTCGCATTTAGTGAGGCAAATGTAAAGTTTGCATAAAGTGGGGAACGTTTTTTTTCCTTCAAATAGATGAACTTAAATTCATGTTAAAGCATTTAAATTATTGTGATTTGAATAAAATTTAAATTGATTTAAAATTAAAGGCCCCAAATGGGGTATTTTGACCTATATAATTATGTTGACTTTACCATTTGCAGATTTACAGATAAAACTACCTCCCATCTAGTGGTAGAAATCGGCAATTATCATTGAATTTTCTTACTTTTTTCTATTAATTAGCGCAAAAAATGAACCAGTATTAAAACGTTAATGTTCGATAAAAATGTTTAAAATCAGTCCTCAAGGTATTAAATAATTTTTGCAAACATTGATATTCAACGAAGATTTCATATAAAAGGACCATAAATAAAATGCAGTATCGATTACTTTAATATCAGTTTCTATTTTTATATGGCATCAAATTATAAGGTTTATTTTAAACAGTGGGGAAAAAGAAAAAGCATGTATAAAAAAAATACTTCAATTTTTGTTATTTTTTATCAATAAATTCGGTAAATTATGAAGAACTATTAAGTTAGCACCTCTGATTGCTTCGAAAATCATCATAATATTCAAATTTAATTGCAAGCTTTTTTTGTCAAAAAATGTAGAAATGCAATTACTTTAATTACGTTTTTAATTTTTGCAATTTAAATCAGTTCGAAATGTCCGTACAGATTAACCGGGCTTAATTTATAATTCAGAAATCTGTCGATATGATGCAAGATAGCTCTCGAGCACTCGAACAACTTGACCCAATAGAATCGAAACGTTTAAATCGCCTGATCTCGCAAGAGGTTTCAGCTGAATTTGCAAGTTATACTATTATACGGACAGTCGAGCAAGACCAGTACCCGAGAGAATTCAAAGTTTGTCGGATGAAATCGCGAGAAGATAACGAAGAAAATATTTATTCTCGCGAAAAGAGTCCGGAAAAGTGCTGGGAAAGTGTGTAAGTCTATATCTATGTATCAGTACGGAGCTCAATATTGAGAGATGATGCGCATTAATACGTACCTGTCGGTTTTCTGCTTCTCACCGTCGAGCTCGCGATACGTCTGCTGCAACTTGTCCGTGAGTAGCTCCAAATTTCTCGTTAACTTATAGTCGGCCTCAAATTGCTCAGACATTAGGACCAGGTCACGCGTGGCATCGTGAAGTGGCACATCGCTCAAGTACAGGCCTCTCCTGAAAGCCATTACGGACCATCAGACACAATGTATCGAATCCTGCTGCCGCCGCCGCTGCTGTAGCTGCTATGTAGCAGGAGATCGCTGCTGCCTCGGTATAGTCGTTTCATGATTTAGCAACGGGTTCTCGTTTTCGATTCGAACGTCGAAGATTACTCCTCTCGAAGTAATAGGAAATTACTTTTCTCGGGCGATCGAAAAGTTTATTTTGCCGACTCGATAACGCGTTGCTCAAGATTTTTGAGAATATCATCGATAATTTTTCATAAGAGCGTTCGTAACGTTTTAACAGCCAAAAGCAGTTGAACATGCGCGTGGATCCTTGACAATTGAATTAATAAATCATAAGAAGCATGAAATATTGTGCCCATAATGACGTCCAATTAGCAATCATTCGTAATTCAGCGAATGTTTTGGCGCATAAATGATCGAAGCGAGTCGAGCGTTTGCCAAGATTTAATGCAGCGAGCTGTATGTATAGATCGGAAATGGACATATATCGCATCGTATCGGTCCGATATCGATATGGAAAAGGCAGGATGTCGGGATCAATGCGCGTGATATGCAGCAGTAGCAGCAACAGCACCAATGGACTGCTTTTACTGTATACGGGGTATATATACGAATTTCAGTCTCTCTCTCTCTCTCTCTCTCTGGTCGAGCTATCGATCCGGTAATGCGTAAACAATAATGTCCCGTCGTCGGAGCCATTACCGCGCGCGACGACCCTCGTGTGCCATGGACAACTGTACATGTGTGTGCGGACGACAGACCGCTGCAGCTAGCTAGAGCTGCTACTAGCCAAGGTCTATAGAGCGCTGTGCCATGCAGCTTCCGTCGGGTTTTGCGTACAAGAGAGTTAGAGGTAGCCACTATTACCAGAGAGCTACACCGACAGCCGACGGTTTCGCGCAAAAGCCGCGGCTAATAATGTATGCCGCAGAGGGAGCCTACACTCTAAACCCAAAAGAGTAATTTTCGAACCTCAAAAGAGTAAACTACGTTATTTACTCTTTTAAAAAAAGTAAATAGCGCAGATTATTCTTTTAATTTCTAGCGTTAAAGTGAAAGGAGTAAGCTTACTCTTTTGAGGTTCGAAAATTACTCTTTTGGGTTTAGAGTGTAGGTTGTGTTTTAAAAAAAAGTATTTTACGTACATTACTTTTTCGAAGTTCGAAAGTTACTCTTTTGGGTTTAGCGCATATGAACAATTAACCAAAGAAAACAAGAGTTAAAAATAAAAATGTTTTGACTCGAATTTCAAAACTGAAAAAGACTTGATTGATGAGTCTGATACTTGCGTTCATGGCATGTAATCTTAAAAGTTCAATAGCTACAATATCGAAATTCGATGTGAGCCTCGTAGAAAAAAATCGCGTGTAAACTAACAAGGAGACCTTCTCACCTCTGTTGACAGATCTTTCCGAACATCTCTTTGGAGTCTTTTGGTACCTAATAATGAAGCTTTCCGTAGCTTAGTTTAATCGAATGGGCTTTAGGGCCCATTTTTAATAACGCTTTTTCAGTAAAAGTTTTTCTACAGTGAGCTCTTGCATTGAGCTGCACGCAATGTGTGTGCAGTACGCACTGCACAGTTTGGCATCATTTTATCATGAAAGTCCCAAAACAAAAGTTCCGAATGTATATTATGCTTTATGTCGCACGTCGCCCGAGCCGTGAGTACCTCGCCCCACCGTTTGCTTCGGTCTATTTCAATCTCTTATTTAATTCTTATAAATTTCTATAAACTTACAAAAAATTTAAAAAAAGCGTATAATTGAAATAAAACATTTAGGTATTTCTTTCTTTTTCTGCTCTTTACGGAACGCCGAAGAGGCTGAACATTTAGGGTGGTCCAAAAAAAACTTTTTTTTTACATACGCTCACCTAGCCTCTAATTGTTTTCAACAAGTAATAACAAGAAGCTCCATTAATTTTGAGCCCAAAATATCAATTTTAATAGGTCGCTCAACGATCAAGTAGGATAAAAAACGTGAAATAATACTTTTATGCCTTAAAAAAATTCAAAATTGCTCATTCTTTAAAATTAGTCATTTGACATAGTCATATGACTTGATGAGAATTTTTACACAACTTCATACGGTATATAAACTTTCAAAAAATTTAAAAAAAGTGTATAATTGCAATTAAACATTTAGATATTTCTTTCTTTTTCAGCTCTTTACGAAACGCCGATGAGCATCTGACGAGGTCTAACTTTTTTATCTCCCAGACTCGACTGCTTGGTAGCGAGTGCTACTCGTCGGGCCGACGCCCTCTAGCGGTGGCGTTCTAACACATATATACTATTAAAATAAAAATGAAAAAACAGCTGTAAGATGTGTAACGTCTTTATGAATGTTAAAAATAGAATTGAACATTAAACAATTCAAGTAATTCGATCTGAAATTCGAGTAATTAAATCAAAACAAAATTCGAGTAATTCGATTTAAAAAATTTAAGTAAATCAATTTACAATAGAAAAAAAGCGCTGCAAGATGTGTAACTAAAGTCACATTTAAAGGTAAAAAATTTAAAAAATAAATAAATAAAATAAACCAAATGAATGGTGTCTGATCATATTACACAAAAATCAATTGATTTACTCGAATTTCGATATTGTAGCTATTGAACTTTTTAGATTACAGGCCATGAACGCAAGTATCAGACTCATCAATCAAGTCTTTTTCAGTTTTGAAGTTCGAGTCAAAACATTTTTATTTTTAACTCTTGTTTTCTTTGGTTAATTGTTCATACGCGCTAAACCCAAAAGAGTAACTTTCGAGCTTCGAAAGAGTAATGTACGTAAAATACTTTTTTCAAAACACAACCTATAGGCTAGATATCCATTGCACTGGATGTGCTGCTGCTACCGCTTCTGGTGCTCTGTATATCCATCGATGCGACTGATATCGACTTGACGAGGAATTAATGAGCTGCGGGGCTGCTGCTGCGCTCATTCGGCTTCACGGTCCGTCCGCATAGCCACGCGCGTCGACTTGCTCCCTCGCCCGTCCCCGCTCTCGCGTATACGCGCAGTACCTATATACCTACATAATACGTGTACGAAACACGCCGAGCGTTAAGTGCCGAGACCCGACTAATATCGACTTAATGAGCCTCTCAGGCTTGCCCTCGCGCGCCGCTCGCTATACGTACGTATACATATCGTATTATATCGCGTTACAGTAATCGCGACTGCTGCTGCCGTTGACGCTGATGCTGCGATGCTGCTGCACGCCTACATACAATACAGATACTCGCGCGAGAGAAGCTCACGTACGCTCGTAGCCGTACGCTCGTAGCTACTGCTATACCACCCGCATAATGGCTCACTAATCCAATTATCTGCGAATTTGTTTACAGACTTAGCCAACGCCAGCAGCAGCAGTGCCAGGTTATTGGACACTTTCCCCTCGTTTTACCACCTGTGCACGCGCGCAAGCTCCTACGCGAAAGCGCAAACTTCTTTGCTCTTTCACCTCAAATTTCCCCTACTTCCCTCTCGCTTTAACTTGTTCTCTTATACTCATTCTCTCTCTCTCTCTCTCTCTCTCTCTCTTTACCAGTTGAATACGCGCTAGGCTACGCATACACCGCACGGGCTGCTGGCTTGATATTCGTGCATATGCATACAGCCGTGGGTTTACACTCATAAAAAAGTATGTTAAATTCAAATAAATGTATTTGTTTGAAATCCATTTATTGAATTTAAAGAAATATTTTCTCATATCAAATCTGAGTTATTAGTAACAAACATATATTTATTAGAATTTTTTTGAATGAGATGGAAAAAATATTTTAAACAATTCATTATTTGACACAAATATTTCTTTATTAGTTTTAAACAAATATATAATTAATTGGATAACAAACCATTTATTTGAAATCAATAAATGACATCAAAGAAATATTTGTTAAAATAAAGTATTTAATTAGTTTGTAAAAAAGAAGTATTCTATGTTTAATTTAAATAAATATATTTGTTTCAAATAAGATATAAATTGATCAATACTACCAAATATTTTAGTTGAAAATAATAAATCATTTGTTCAAATTACGTATCTTACGTATCAAAAAATATTTGATGAAACTAATTGAATTTACCATGTTTAATTTTTGATGGGTTAAGGTCTATGGCATATTAAAGTTATCGCGTACTTAGAATAACGTCCGAGCTCGATATTGCTTAACCGACACTGTAAATGTGACATGCTGTACACATAAACACGAGTACAGGCCGTCGGCCGGCTGTTGTGATCCACACTGTGAATATGAGTGAATCTGTAGCATTTGAGTGGCTAGCTGCTCACCGCATGTAGTTTGCTATGTGAGTTTGTGTTTGGGTTGTGTGTAAGGTGCATCACAGTTTCCGTTGAGCGGAATCGAGCTCGAAATCAGCTAGTGTGTTTTTGTCAATACAGCCACCCTAGCCTAACGTTCGTAGTTGCCGATTGCGTTTAGGACTAGGTTTAAAAAGTTGCCATGTCAGCTCGGACTACCATCAGTGCTACTTGCATAGCCGCTCTCGGTATTCGTAATGTGTTCGTGAATGCGTGTGCGTGAGCGCGTCTTTTTACATAATTTGAATTGTGAAGTTATGGTAGATGAGTCGTCTGTTGTTGCCTGTCTCGACTGCAGTTAGAAGTCCAATGAAAGCGGAACTAAGGACAAGAATCATTTGATTTTATAACAAGATCAAGCTAGGTAAATTAGCATTTAGGGAGCTGACGATACAATACAAAACAAATATTTATTTCACGCAATGAAATTTTTTACCTTTTTCTGGAATAAATAAAAATTATTAATTTTATTGCATCAATTTCAAATAATAAGGTAGTTTTAATACAATATGCTAATTACCAATAATACGCAATAATCATTTACAGCCGTAAAAATCATTCGTATAATAACTTGTACGGGTGGCGTAATGGTAAAGTGCGTGCCTACCACCCCGAGGTCCTGGGTTCGATCCCAGGTGTAGGAATCTCTTTGTATGTTAGGATTGCGTTTTATAAGTGTTTATAATTATTAAGTATGCGTAAATAATGTTATATAATGTATATTAAGCGATATAAATGTAATCAATATAATATATATAAATAATAATTTCAAAGTTAATATTAGTTACAGTTCAAGTCTAAACCATGAATGAAGCAACCTCATGATTGATTCAATTAAATATTTATTTTGTCATATAAATATTTGCTAGCGTTTAGTAAATATTTATTTGAAATAATAAAAAAAATAATTGAAGCAAACAAATATTTTTTCAAATGAATTAATATTTTATTGTATTCAAATAAACAACTTTTCGTTATAAGCTTTTATATTTTTGCTTCAAATATATATTTGTTAGACATAAATAAACATATTTTTGATATTAACAAATATATACTTGAATTAAAAATATTATTGTTTATTACAAATAAATATTTAATTTGTTTTAATAATTGATTGTTTCAAATTAAGTAAATATTTATTAGCGTCAAATAAATGTACTTTTTTCATTTAAACAAATCATTTGTTTGCTACTATACAAGTAAATAATTTGTTTGAATCAAACAAAATTTGTTTGAATATAGCATATTTTTTTTTCGGTGTACTTACAGATCCGCGCTTCAATATAACTGGCTTCGAACTAGGAAGACGAAGATTATCGCGCGACAATAACAATTGTACGATTTTCCACTCAAGCTCTGATTATCAAAAACACAGCGAGAAGCTGCGCCTGTTCTCCCGTTACCGCCCGCGCATTTTTTCTGGCTATATGAGCCGGAAACTCGACTACCGGAAAATTTGATTCCGTCGCGCTTGGAATCTATACCAATTTTGTGAACTTTCCTTTTATCGGGCCCTACCCGCTATACTTTTTATTTCTTTATTTTCCAACAACAACCGATTCCAATCTTATTTGCTTCTAAATAGCCACTTTTCGGCGTATGATATTTTAGTCGGAAATCCGAGGTCGAATTGCACACACGCGAGTTCAATAAGGTGTGGAACGGGGGGCTGCACTTAATAGCTGAAAAAGTTTATAATAGATCTGAAATAATGCCTTTTTAACCGACCGTATGTTCGAGGTAAGTAATAAAACTTTGCCTTGGCTATGCTCAACTTTTTTTATGAGGTTTATTCGGCTCATTTGGGGATTCATTCTATTGGAACCAGATCTTGAAAGCTGCCTCTTTTCCGCTGGGAGATTTTAAATTTCAAGCTCATAATCTTGCGGGCTTTTTTATTGTTTCAAGCTAAGCCGAAGAAAGAGAACTGACACGGTTAAACGTACTATGTCAGCTTCAAGTGCAAAAGTACAATCAAACATTTCAACGATATTGAAGAATCTCGATTCAAGAAGCTAACTATCTCACGTGTGGGATAAATATAAAAATCACCTAAGCATGAATAAGCTTTTCATTGAAAATGAATCTCTCGATGATAACAGAGGATGGTGTTAAGAACCCTTGAAATTAAACTCCGGGGCTTTTAGAATGCCGAATCCATTTATTCTGTTATACTCTGAGGAAAAGGCTTACCGTAATCACCGAAATTGGGAATTTTACGGAAATACGTTTTGCTGCGAGAACGATCGCGAGTAATCATACGAATGAATGAAGTTGAAGTGCTTGAAAATAAACCACAAATACAAACTAGTTATTGAAAAAAAAAACACAAGTCGCAAACAATAGAATACTGTTCTTTCAAGTTGTAAAGTTCCTCTAATAAATCGCCTGGACGAGAGAGATAAATCTATTGATCTATTCGCAGATAATGGAGTATAGTGTCTTTTTTTCGAAAAAAAGTGATAGATGAAGGGCAAATCCGCCACACAATTTATGTCATCGGATATCGAGGTCACAATTTTTGGCTTCTTTATTATTTTTTGTCGAACCATGTTTACTAGCGCCAAAAATTTTCCAACTACGCAACTATCTGTACAAACTTTTTTAACTTTGTTATTTTTTTGTACAAATCACTAAACGGTTTTATTTATAATACGAATTAATTTAAAAATATCTTTTTATCATTCGTTCTAATTGCACTCAACAACAAATGATTTCATAAAGAAAGTTATAAAAAAGAAAGCAATAAACCACATACCTTGTTAAATCGTCCAAGTTCATAACGCTTGGGTAGCACAAAAATATAACTGAGTCCGATTCCCTCACGTACAACATTTGTCCCTGTAACAGAACAAGTAGAAAATAAATTTGTTATTCAATCAAAGTTTCAACTATCCGTGGATAATTTTAGTGCTTGAAAATATCTATAGCATTATACATAAATTATAGAATGTGTCCTTACTTTCAAACGTAGATAGGAGTATTCTTCTGTAGCTTCAACTTGCATCACTCCTTTTTTAGTTCTTAAAACGTACACAGTATTGATGTGCGATAAAATATTTTCAAACGTCAATTCAAGATGTGGTCTTACCTATGTTAAAAAATTACGATTGAATAAATGGCAAAACTTGAAATACAAAAATTGAAATAAAATTTACGTAGTTGAACACGTTGTGTGAAAATAATTTAAAATTAATTTTTATTTAATATAATTCCGCTGATTTTGAAACCTTTCAGTACCTTTTCATATTTGAAAAAAATGATAAATATAAATAATTTGAGTGTCAGTTGAATGCAAGACTGGAGTTTTATTTTCAGTAAAAAAAATGCAAATAAGACTTGAAAAGACATTGTCGACTCCAAAGAAGCAACAGATTCTTATTAAATTGCTTCTAGGTAGTGCCATGCTAGAAATAGCTTTGAATTGGCAAACTCCCTCAGACCAAACGACAAGCTGGCTTCCGTAGCCGAGATAATCTTGTTATCAATAGCTCATGCTTTTGAGAAATAAGAAGAAAAATCGTCGCGACACTCTGTTTTGCTGAGTATCCGAGTTGTTTACTGATATTTCCAAGTTTCAATTACGTTCTGTCATGTTTCAAAAAATCAATTATAATTCATGATGCAACCTTATATATTTCAAGCATACAAAAAACAAAGCTTCACTGTTACTTTCAAACCCGAGCACTATAAATTACGAAATTGCATTAAATTCGGGAAACTTCTTTTTATCTAACTAGTTTAAGATGTTGTTTTTGCTTGGACGTTATAAGAAAGATGTTCTATAGTATAGTTTAATCAACAACAATTAATATTTTTAACTATTTAATTGATAAAATAGTGTAATACTTACAGTTAAAAGAATATCGCTCAGTTTGCAATTACCACTGCAGACTTGCGGGATAACACGTGTGATTGTGCATCCAGTTTGTACTATTCTCAAGTTTCGGTTAAACATTAAATGGAACGGAAATACTCTACAAAATGTTGCTGGACTAACTTTTGGTTCTTTAAAATAAACAGATATTTATATTTTTAATAGAAATATCTTGTGAGTTCGTAAAAAAAAATATATTATTAGTTTTCGCACCAACTGAAAGGCATTCGATATCGGCAATTGTTTGTTTTTGATCTACTCCTGGGCCTGACTGTTCGGTTATTAGAAACTGGACGTGATCACAATCGTCATTTTTAGTCTTAAGGATTTTCATTTCGACATCTGTGCCATGAAGTTTTTTAGCAACCGTCTACGTAAAATTTTGGAATTATAACTTAAGAAAAATATTTAAAATTTCTTCAAATGTTTGAGTTATTCGATTGATACCTTAACAATTCCAATAACTATGTATTCTAACCCAGGTCGGTCAGAGTAATAATGTAACACCAGCGCACCATCTTCAGGTCTTTCTGTGCACCTAAATGAAGGAGCTCTCATGCCTGGATATAATGTACCCAAATGGTCGTGAAGAGCGTCTAAGTTCTGCAGAAATATTTTTTTTTAAGAGTTTAATAATTACATGCATAGAAATTCTATTTTCTTGCACGATTTATTTGCAAAAAATATTCAGTATCATTTAAAAGCGATGGAAACAAGAGTTTATATAATTTTTTTTAATGTAGAAAGAGTACCTGCAAAAAATCTCTGGGAGTTGCTCCGAGCACCTGTAATATTTTATCATATCCTGAATCTTGACAAAACTCGAAGAACATTTTCCCAAAAAGTTCAAGAATGTCGTTTGCTGGTATTTCTAAATAATAAATACGTTTACTTAATTTTGTTAAATTAATAATCAACAAAATATTTGTTTCGCATGGTGTATACTTCAAAATTTTATTAAAGCTTTACATAGCACTTATATCTTTAATAATTATATGTGTTGATCAAATTTAAATGCATATGTTGGGACACATTTACTAATGGCATCACTAAAGTGCTTAGATGAAAGCGAAGTTTTTAACTGTATTCATCAAAAAGTTTCAGCATAGAAACCAATCCTCATATTTTGAAACACTTGCGAGGTGAACATTTACCAAAATAACATTGCTAGTTTTCAGAAAAATTTCAGAAAAATTAATGATTTTTCTCAATCTTACTCGAAAATAATGAGTTGAAAATTCTCTAAACATTTTTTTTTTGGAAGTCACCATAATTTTTAATTGCACGTTGCTTTATTCAAATTAGAACTAAACTATGAATACTTACTGAGTCTATTGACCGCAGCACCGATAATATTATAAGTAACTTCATCGTCGTAAATTTGACGGACCAAAAATTGGCCATCCATATTAACAGCTGCATCTTTTCTAAAGAATCAAATAAACTTATCGTTTGTGCGTGTTATATTGCTACATAGGATATAAAAATGATTTAACATAATTTAAATAATATAGAAAGTTCAAGTATAAATAAATGTACATCATGTACACACTTGATTATGTTATACTATTTAGAAATTTAAACTTGAAGAATTGTCTATAGACTTGTTAAAAGCATTATGTAAGAGATATTTAAAATTTATTCATCAGGAATTAACCAGAATAAGTAAATAAGCATTTTTCACATTACCAGATTACTTTTTAATATTCAACCTTGATTTGAAAATGGACATACGGGCTATGCATACTAAAGATTAGTATTGCGATACACTACAAACCACAATACTTAATCAAGTAATATTATTTTTTGAGTTTATGTGTAGTTTATTAAATTAATGTATTCAAATCTTATATGACAAAGTTATTGCAAGAAAAAAGTTAATTACATTAAAATAATTAAAATGTTTCATATTATATTAATAACACAAAAAATACTTTTATCAGACAGAAGCATACGTTAAATTTAAATTTATGGTACAAAAACATTTTGCAATCTCAGACATAATTTTCAGATCAGTACTTCAGATTGTACTTTTTGATATTCTATTGACTTTTCAACACTTAGTTAGAGTAAACATTTTTTTTCTATATTATTAGTTCTTAAAAGGTCGATGGATGCCCAACACAAGTTATGAATAAAACGTTGATAATTTTTATAGCTCAGTGCTATAAAAAAGCGTAAGATACTTATGACTCAAGAAGCCCATTTTTACCGCGGCACTAGCACCCTCGCTTCGCTTGGGTGCTAACCGTCCCGTGCAATAGTGGCTTGCTTAAGTCACACGTATCATAATATACTGTTGTTAACGTATAAAAATTCTCAATTTATGCGTATTATGCCTACGAATTTAAAAATTTTCTTTTCAAAAGCTCGTATCATAATAGTTTCGTTCAGTTTAGCTCTATTTTTCGGACACAGCATTGCGAGAAGTGATTAGGAATGTTGTTCATTTTCGAAAGGCTGGAGAGGCCTATGCCTGCAAACTCCAAACTTTTCTCTTTAAATAAAAAAATTAATACAACAATTATTGAAAGCTACGACTATACAAAGACAACTCAATACTCAACAGCGCATATATAAAATGGGGTGAATTCGAGAATACAATATCTAAAATATTGACTATTATATATTCCTAGAACTTTACCTTTTCTTTGGGCGGGATTTCAGAAAATTTTGGCACTCGCCCCCTAGCGGTAACTTAAGTACTATTAGACAATTTATTTGATGATTTGGATGAGGCTTATAACTTACATCTCAGTAAAGACTTTCAATAATATGCATTTAGTGTATTTCTAGAGTTCTAATTTATATTCATCAAACAATTTTAAGTTCTCTGATCGCATACTTCGAAAAAAAAGTTTAAAATTTAAAATGAAGTATCTCATAATTCGAAAATTTTTTGAAAAAATTGATTTATGCATACATTCCCTTCGAATTATATTAATTTCTTAAACAATGCTTTTAACGAGATTAAGCTGGAACCAATCAATCCCTTTAAAAGACGTGATTTTCAATGTAATTTGAACACTTATTCATTTACGGAATGTATATTTTTCAGAACTTTCAATTATAAAACTATAATTGAAAAGAGTACAAGAGTATAAAGTTTTAATTTTTTATCGACAAATACTCAACGTGTAGTTTATGAATTTTTTTTCTAGACAAAGTAATTTCAAATGATTGAGCTTTTAGATCTGCTAAAGAGGCTATGATGTATGGATCAAAAATTGCGGTAAACGTGATTAAACTCAGAGATGGGGCTGAAAACTACGTGGATTCTCTACGGCTAATACGTTACTAACAGAAATATTTTAAAAATTTAATTTTTTCTCAAATGCAAAGCGTACTAACATCCTCTCTTGAAATAATCATCTTAAAATAGTAATACGTATCCCAGATACTTATTTTGCAATGAATAAATCCTTGCTGATATACTACCATTTTTTACAACCTTTCCAACAGCATTGAGGGGACCGACCTGTGTTAAGAGCTTAAATTCAAAAAATAGCTGTATAAATTGAAATAGTGGACATTTTTTTTAAATATGTTCATTATACACCTGATTGACAAGAAAAACTTCTACCTAAGCTCTGAAATGTCAATTACGCCTATTTTTTCATAATACTAAATATTATAATAGGATTCACTTGCCACGAGATTCTGACGTGAGCTCTTCATCAATACTGATCTATGGGGTCTCAAAATCTTCAGAAAAATACCCTCATCCACTTAAGCGGAGCAGAATTTGAAAAAAAATTTCGTTTCTCTTCCAAAAGCTTAAATATGGCTTCTAGTGTTGATAAAATACTAATTATCTTAAAAATTGGCACATTTTGACACGTATATAAAGTTGTACGCAATTTTTCAAAATTCTGCTCCGCTTAGGTAGATGAGGGTACTCTTCTGAAGATTTTGAGACCCCATTGATCAGTATTGACGAAAAACTCTTTTCAAGATCATGCGGCTAGTGATTTATAACAAAATATTTCGTCTTATGAAAAAAGTGATGTAATTGGTATTTCAGAGCTTGGGTAGAAGTTTTTTTGGTCAATCTGATGTAAAATGAACATATTTTACTATCACAAAAAAAAATTTCCACTATTTCGATTTATATAGCTATTTATAGCTGAAACTGAATTTAAGTTTTTAACACAGGTCCGTCCCCTTAAGGTTTCATTTTTCATCATCCATTATTTTGTTTCAAAACCCTTATGATAATAATATAATTCTAAAATCTTCCTCAATGAAAACAAATAATAATTTACGACAGTAAAAACAATTATAAAAAATTGAATAATAACAATGCATTCAAACTTCAGAAAATTATTATTTTTTGAAACATCAATCAAGATGAATTCAATGTGATACTGTAAATAATAGTTTAAAACCCGCGTTAACAACAAATGTCGAAACGGATAAGTCATTATTTGTAAAATAAAGCGAAAATTGAATTCCGAACAAACTCAACGGGTAACGGAACTTCTAGCCTGATTTACAAAAAAGTTCAAGATAAAATGAATTGATGAATGGACGTACCATTTCCAAGCTAATAATGCATAAATTTAGAAGAAAATAATCGAAATTGACGAGGCACAAAAAATAGAAAAGTAACTTAGTGATGTTATATTATTCATACTTAAAGAAACACAAGTAATTTATGAGAATAATAAGATGGTGGTGAAATTGAATTATATTACATAATCAGATCACATTATATGAACTAGATGATAACTTGAATAAGTATGTCAATGAAATAAATTGGATAATAAGTATTTTTATAAATCTAAGACAATTCAAGACAAGTTAAGGTAAAACAATATAAAATTTTAGTAAAGATTTGAAAAACACATTGTTTACTTTTAGTACAGTCTCTCTACAGGATTTATATGTATGTCCTAAAAGAGAAATTTGTAATTTGAGGCCAATAAATTATTACTAATAAAGGCATTCATTAAAGGTACTCGAAGAAAACGTTCAGTTGCAAAATTATGGAACAAACTTAAAATTTAAATTTTAAATACTGGTTTCTACATCTTAAATTTATCAGAATCGTTAAGAGTAATCATAAAAAAGTTTTCTTCCCGATAAGGTGGCTGCTTTACTACTGGAGCTCGTAATTATCTCCTACAAATGCGTGAAAATGATACTTTACACTTTTTAAAACTACCTGAAAATTATTCTATCAAAAAATTTCGAAGTAAGTTTAGTAAAACTGTATGTTTGTTACAGAATTACATATTAGCTTAGATACTTGAAATGTTCCTTATAAAATCTGTGAATGTTTCTATCGAATAATATTTGATTTATTGATAATAACAACGTTCATGGTGTAACCCTAAGTGTTCGATGGACAAGCACACAAATTCACTTTTTTGTGCTGTCGATCGTACATTTGTATTCACTTTCCGGGAAGTTGTGTGCAAGAAAAGATGGAAAATATTTCTTTACTTCTATTTTATTTATATGGAGAAACAATTGACAGAAAAACCTTATGAACGAAAATTTGTCCAATTAAATATCAATCAAACATAAATAACAAAACGATAAAAAATTCTAAATGTATTATAAAAGTAAACTAATTTTTTAAATATTCTTACTTGATAGCTTCCCATGTTTCGTTATCAAACGTTCTCACCACCAATAACTCCAATGCATAATTAACAAACCCGTACTGAAAACAAATAATTTTCGACAAGTTAGAAAACTGATATATTAAGACAATTAATAGAAAATGTTATTGATGATTCATTTATCCTTTTTTTTTTTAATTCACCAAAAGTTAATTAAAAAAGTGAGCATGCAAAAAAATAGCAATTGAATTTGTCATTGTCACGTGACATTTCGAAGCACTGGTATTCTGAGCACCACGTTATCATTGCTGACCGGCTGCATTGATACACATCATGAATGAAAATGACAAAAGTACGTACCATTTTTCGAGTGAGCTTAGATCAAGTCCTGCGTCAAAATGTCGAAAGTTTTTTGCTAATTTTTATGTCGGAACTGGGCTATTCGCTTGTAAAGTGCTGCATCCATCGGTGACAGTAAAGTTTTGCTCGCGACGCGGTGGTGTTTACTTCGGGCACACGAGTCGTGAACTGCATAGACGGCGAGTTCGCGAGATACGCCGATGAGTATCGATTTTTCCTCGCGGAAAGGGTCCAACCGACTGCGCCATCTGTGCTCGAGTTTGCAGATCCGTAGGAGAGGGCGGGTGAATAGAGGATCGAGAAGGGAGGCTCACTTTCTATTAGTGCAACGCAACGCGTAGTCAGCTTTAACGCTGCAGAAATGCAATATGCGCTTCTTTAAAAAAGTGCAGATTTTTAAGGCCTTTAAGCTCATTTTGCTGACAGTCGTAATTTTTTTTATCATTGTCATTGAGCGCATTCGGCTTACTTAACGAACGTCTAGACCTAATTTTCAGGCACGTCCGATTACAACGATTTTCTTGCAGCAAGCTCACTCCAACTTCCGAACTTTGTTGTATGCTCAAATAATATTTATCTGTTTGCAAATAAATACGCTCGCGGATTGACTTTTAATAGAAATTCAATATGGCAGTTTAATGTTATGAAAGCTATATTAAAAAATATATCAATTCCATTTAGAGTGCCATGGTTCAATTTTACAGCTACTGAAAATTGCAAACATTCACTCAGTACTTATTTGAATATATAAATAAATAAATTCCAATTTTAATTAAAAATTTATTACAGCATAATTTAAATTTTTTATATTTATTATATACAATAAATAAAAAATAAAAATCGATCGTATTGATGATATACACAAAAATTCTTTGGTTTATTTATGAATATTTTCTTGTACCGATCGAAACTCTTGTTAAAAATATTCAAAGTACACATCATGTATGGACTTGACGTGAATATTTCAAAAACAATTCTTAATCCCGGAATTCATATTAAATATGTACCTGACGGAGTGTCTTCACTTTTTTTTTCTTTAACTCAAATGTATGCCTCTGAAAATAGAAGATACGTTTTAACTGTATCATACCGCTTAACTATTAATTTTTTCTGTCAAACAAGAAAAAAATTTTAATGATTTACTGTATAGTTCGCACTACTCATGAAAAATTAATTTCGCTCCTCAATTTTCAACAGCATCGTATCGTAAAATATTACTGGTAATACAGAACATATCGATTGGTGTGACCTGAATTAAATTCACAATGCTAGTTCATGTAAACTTAAGAAAGTAACTAAATCAAAAACTTTTGGTTACGCACATTTTGAAAGATTTTGTAAAAATATAAAAATATGTCATCAAAAAAATAACTTCATTTGTTTAACTTTGTTTTTGACTTTTTTTATTTACGAGGTTTTCGTCTACAAAAAATACCATCGTATTATTGTCATTTTTGATTTTGTCCCTATATTGATCTAAAACTAATTTTAAATTTTTATATTTAATATAATGATATTAAATTTAAAAAAATATGAAGGGCGAACATACTATAACTTTCAAACAAAATAAATTTAGTATCTAGAAAGTTCTTGTTATTTTTAACAGGAAAACTCTTCTACCAAAAGTTGATGTGAAGTGTTTGCGCGTGTCATGTGAAAAGAACCAGCAATTTTTTAAAATTAAGTAACAACCAAATTTAATTGGTTAAATTTCGAAGTAACCATAAAAAGTTAAATTTTGATATAGTTTAATATTTAAACTTAGTTCATCATAGTGACAAAATTGAAAATAAATCAAATAAAGTACCTTTTTTCTACATATTCACAAAGCAGTTGTAAATGTGGATGTCCGAGAAAAATTGTTAAATAAAAAATTTGATGTATATACAGAATAGAAGAAATAATTTTGATTGCATGATTTGTACGAGTTCAACGTCAAAAAATCGAAATTATCAACGAGGAAACGAATTTAGTGGCCAATTTATTTCAACGACAATTACAACTTTTTAAACCTTCTAGTTGAGGAAGTTTGTTAGATTTCGACTGGCATGGGCACGGATCACCTTGTGACCAATTTTTCGCGTGCTGATATTTACTCGGCAAAAAGTAACAAAAATTCTATGCCATGTTGTAGAAAAGTTTTATCTTCTGCTGTCTTTCGGCTTCCAATTCTCGTTATGAAAAAAATAACAGTATTTTCACCGGCATTTTTGGATTATTTATTGTAGATTACTCGTTAAATCCTGATTTTGATAGAAAAGAGTTACTTTTTATCAATTTTAATAAGCCCGATACCTGCTGTAACAAGATCAACAAAATTTTCATGTCATAAAACAACTTTTTGTTTGCTCGTTAAAATTTGAATGGCATATACATAGTTCGCTTTTTCATTTTTTGACATAATATTATCTTCTCTTATTTTGTTCATGAAAGTTTACTAAAAATATTTTTTTCTGTTCCAAGTCCAAACTCTCGTTTCGCTCATCTGATTGTTATAATAATTACCATATTTGGTATAACTAGGCTTTGAAAGATCAATATGGAAAAAATGAGACGAGGTAGAAAAATTAACCAATCCTATTTTATAAAGATTAAACTTTTAATTTAAATTATTCATTCATTTGACGAAATACTTCGGCATATAAATGCAAAAATTGAATTATGAAATAATATAATACATAATATAATTTATGATATAATTAACGAATGCATAGACTCATATATTATCATATGTAATTCATTATATAGCATAATTATAAGTTATACATTAGTAAAATTGTTATATTAAACACCACTGGAAGTTACTTGACAAGTTGGTTAATATTTACTTGACAAAAAGCATACAATACAAATTCTGCATTTTGAACTAATAAGTGAGATTTTCAAGTTAATTTTAATACGAGATAATTAAAGTAATTGAAATTTTAATAAACTTATATAAACCAGCTATCATGAATAAAAATTCGTAGACTGCTGATTAATAATTAACGCTAATCAAAATCGTTATGCATTAATAAACCAGTAACTTTGATTTAAGATCTCTATTTGAAGCAGAAACAAATTAAAATTAAAATTTTTATTTAGAATTTAATCCGGTATTCAACGTTTCCCAAAATTTTAAAAATAATTAGAAAAATGTGTTCATCCATGGGTAAAAAATTTGGTATTACATATCCACCAATTTCATCTTAAGCCGTTCGAAAATTGAAAATTGTGACACATACCGGCGCTTCGGAAAATGATAAAAAATATCGAATGTATTCGAAGATCAAATAAATCCCTTTTTCCCAGCGTAAAATTTATTTTCGAGCAAATGTTATAGAGCTGAATAAAATACCCAAGAGAGTTGATGGTTTGATTGAATGATTGAAGAGAAGAGCTCCAGCGAGGGCAAAGAAAAAGCGATGGCAATGAACGAGGAACGGGAGGAAAGGTCAGGAGATGGGAAAAAACAACAACATAATATGAGCATAGGTACATGTATATGTAGCGAACGACACCGAGCGAGCAAGAGTGAGTGAGAGGAAGAGAGCAAGCGCGCGCGCGAGTTTATGTGTACATGTAGAGTGCAGTTTGCAAAAGAGAAGTCAAGAGGAGAATAGCTAGAAGGGAGAGTGTGCGCGCGCTCGGAGCACTTGTGAATGTAGGTAACGCGGGTTGTGTGTGCAGCAGTCGTACAGCTTGCTTGCCTCTCTCTCTCTCACTCTCTCTCTCTCTCTCTGAAATGAGGACAAACGAAAAAGGCTATGCGAGGGGTGTCTATCTCTCACCTCCCTTTTCCCTTTCTCCCTTTCTTTTCTATTCTCTTACTCGCTCTCTTTTCTGTTTTTCCGCGCGCCTTTCTGCACTAACACACAAAAACAAGAAGAAGAAGGAGAAGAAGAAAAAATAGCTAATGCACAATCATACGAGTACACAGTATAGTGCGCACACATGTGCACTAATGTGCGGGCCTACACGAGCCTGTAGCTCTCTCGCTCTCTCGTATCGTTTCGATTTCTGAGTGCGCGCTCGCAAGCTCGCTCGACGTCGCGTTTTATCGGCTTTACCGCCAACCACCACCACCACCACCACCACCTTAGCCAGCAAGCACCGTATAAACGAAAAGCTTCGAGCTCGTTTTATCTTTCACTGTTCACGATTTACTATAGAGGTTTAGTAAATTACGCGCGAAGAGAAAGAAGTACCTATACACGAATCGCCGAGGAATCGCGTCGACGCACGCGTTCTTTCCTTGTAATATTATACGCACATCCAGTCAATCGGTCGTATATAATATATAACTCGCACTGGCTTATACGTGCCGTACAAGACCCTCTCTCCTCGTGGTCCGCTTCGACGCATAAATCGCGTTCGCAGCTCGCTTGCCATAGATGTTGTAATTTTCTCGCGATATATCTTCTTTCGCTCGTATATATCCGCGCGTTGTAGCTGCTGCCGTTGCTGCTGCAAGTGCACGATTCGACCGACGTACTTTTATCTAACAAACGCTCGCGTCGCCTTCTTCCTTTTATTGCGCCTTTCTTTTTCACTTCCAATATATACTTTTTTTATGCAATTAACAGCGCATTGCATTGCGACAGGTAATATTGTTACGGTGCCGGGCGCTCTGCTCAATTTTTTGCCCCTTAACAATTGAATTGCTGGGCTACTTTTTAACGGGCTGTAACTTTTCCGACTCGTCCTATTCATCGCGTTAGAGAAGTTTTTTGGTGCTTCATTGTGTGCCCCATGAAATACTATAAAATAGTCGAAAAATCGCCATTACTTTCGTGGCCATTTGTTTATTCTGCTTCTGATAACATTTTTCCAATGAAACCGGGCGCTAAAGCGCTTATTGACACGAACAAAATTCGACCATTCTTTTGAAATACCAAGTGAATCGCATCCATTGATTTCAAAAAAGAATTTTCTCGCAGTTTATAAAAGAAAACAAAAAAAACAGGAGGAGGAGGATGAAAAAAAAAAAGAAAAAGCGGAAAGTTCGTTGTCACTCGGGTACTAGCTGGCTGCTCGCTGCCGTCGGAAAGCTCGACTTTCCGCTATAAGCGGGCTAGTGGGTGGACGGGTGGCTCTAGGGTGGGTGGCTGGCTGGCTACACGGTAGGTACGCCGCGCGTCTCCGAAGCTACAGCGCAGAGCTAGCTGTAGCGGCGCGCGCCTCTCTGCCTCCCACCCACCCCCCGGTAACCCCCCTTGATTCTCTCTCTCTCTCTCTCTCTTTCACCCTGGCAGTCGCGCGCACGCGAGTACACGGCGTATACAAAGCTGCTGCTGCCTGTTCTGCCTGCTCGGCTCTCTCGGTCAATCGTATGGGCCAGTATGGCGCTGTGCGCTGCGCCACGCCGCCACCGCCGACGCCCTGATCGGATCCGCGAAGCACCCGCCACGCTCCCCGAGAGCATCGTCGTCGTCGTCGTCGTCGACGTTGCCTAGGCAGCCACGGACCAAATATCAGTACCACCCGAGGCCTAGACCCAAGCCAATGGTTCACGAGTAAATTTCGGCGCAGCGAGAAAGAAGAAGAAGGAAGAATAAGAAGAGCCGCCGCCGGATCGGCGCGAGCGTGGCTTGTCACGTGGCCGTGCCAGTCGGTCATGGGCCGGACACGCGACCTTACGACGGCCGTTGACTTGGCGCTCGACTGAGCGCAACACAGCGAGCCGCCTATAACACGTGATCCACACGAGTGCGGATCGGCGCGATTTACAGCCGAGAGCTAAACAATGACGTGCCCCTTTGCCGCGGGTTTGGCGCGGCTCAACAGCGGCGACGACGAGTCCGAGGCTACACGCGGTGGCGGCGACGACTCCGCGGACAGGCACAAAACGGGCCGCTCGAGGCAGCCGCTCAAATCCAAGGATGACCGGCTCAAGCCGTGCCGACAGTCCTCCATGCAAATCACCTCGTCGCTGCTGGGCGAAGACATCGAGGACTCCGAGGACACACAAACGCTCAATCTCAAGCATCTCAGAGCAGCTGTGCTCATGCTGACAAATCCATCGGTAGGCATTTTTTAATACATAATATGACGCTTTAATTTTTTATGTCCAACGATTAAGATTCTTTCAATTATATTGAATATGAGAAACCGAAGATGCATCACTGTATCGTTTCCAATATTGCAGTCCGTTTCTGTCTATTCTCTAGAATTATAATTGTTTACTTTTGTAGTTTATTTAGTCATTCATAAATCAATTTTTCATTCTAATTACGTCAACTGTGATTTGGCAATTATTGCAACAATTTTATTTTATTCAATCAAGTATACTTAACCTATTTTGAAGTAATAAAATTACTTTGGATAAATCTAACCTAGAGGTTTGTTTTGAATCTCGATATAGTATAGAAAAGCATATGAACCTTTTACTTTTTCAAATGGCTCCCTCGAAAAGGACTTTTCAAACCAGGTGTTATAGAATATAGTTTTGTTTACGTATTTGTAAACTAAATTGAATTCCTCACAGATGTCAATAAATGTAAACAAGTGAATATGTGTCACGTATAAAAAACATTATCAAAAAAATGAAATACGCTCCATTCATTGTCAATTTTGACAAAGATGATACTCGAGAAACTTATTGCTTTATTACTGGTGAAGACTTTTTTTCAATTTTCATTTTTGTTTCGATGAAATTTTTGATAAGAAAGAAAGTAAAGATTCATTGATTATTCAAAATGATACATGTTGAAAATGAAAACTTTTTTTTAAATCGTTCGGAACTTTTTTTTTTTGTGGCAAAGAACTGGGTCTTCTTTTTACAGATAAAAATGAAATTGAGCACATTTTTAAAAGGAAGCTTTTTGCTAATGAATTTTTAAATATCAGCACAACCATGAATTTCGGGAAAATATCAACTTCAAGACACTGAAAGAAGGCGATGAACGGTCTTGAAATTTTTATTTAAATTAAGGGACATAAATGACTTGAAAAAGCTTATCACGCCAACTGAAAAAACCATTTTTTGGTCATCCGTTTTTCCAGATAATCAGCCCCCATTCGCACATGCGACTTTATATGCTGCGTGGTGGTAAACTTATCTATGTGGTTGATCGGAGTAAAGTCATTATTGCGAAATAATGAATTTTGATCATTAGGCATACGATGTATTCTGCATCGAGTGAGCTTTCACCCCTTGCGGAGCTTATCTATTTACCTTTGATGCTAATGAATCTTTATGTAAAAGGAAATAAGTTGTTGGGGTTGGCATACAAATAATTCTTGTTTTGAAGCGAGGATATTCTACTGGTGCACCAATAGGGAGCAGTTATCTGGGGCAAGGTTCAGCTGATAACATTAAAATATCGGTTTAACAGCAAAGCAAATTGAATATGTACCTGTGTTAATATTTGATTTTATGTACAAATGGTGAGAAAAAGATTTTTCACAGTCAAGAAAAAATGAATAAAAGTTATAAATACTTAATGTTCACATCAGAATTAAAGAGTATTCACGTGAAGTTTTTATGGAGTACAAAAACATCTTGAAACCAATCTCACATTTCTAGGGTTTGCTACAATCATGTTCTGCACTTGCGCAGTGTGATAAATGTCACATTTGAAGAGTTAGTTAAGATCATGTACTGCACTGATGTGAGATTTGAGGTCACCCTTGCTAAATAATTTTAGACGAATTTCACATTCAAAGAGTAGAAAAACGAATAGGCACTATATTTATGTGATTTTTTAAAACTCTCCGGTATCCAAATGATTTTCGAAAAATATCACATTCAAAGGGTAGGATTTGAAGATGTACTGCATTTATGCGAGATTCAAGGTTTTGCATGACTTGTGAAAAATCTCACATTCGAAGAGTTGGCTATGATTATGTACTGAATGCGTATCAGTTTTGAAGTTACTTTTTTGTTCAAATGTTTTGCTACAAATGTGACACTAAAATCATTATTTCTGATCATGTACTGTATTGATGTGAAACTTGAGGTACCTTTTTAATTTAAATGATTTCTGACAAATTTATCATTCAAATAGTTTGTTCCGATTACGTAATGCTTTTATATGGTAATATTGCGGGTATTCTCACGGTTAAATTTCTTGTGACTAATAAGGTAAAGCGGGGAAATACGCCATAGCTAAGGAAAAAATTGAAATAAATAAGTAATAAATGTATGAAATCAAATCTTAAGCATTGAGGACTTTAAAAAACACGTTCATGTATTATAAGAAAAACAAAATTATCACTTTATATTGTTATTTTAATAGTTATAACAAATTTAGCAACTTGGTTCAAAAGTGGCGTTTTCCCCAAGCTTGCGGGAAAGACGCCACCCCGATTGGAACAATATGCCCTTAATCGGAATATAATGAAAAATAGTTATTTATGTAACAAGTGCCCAAAAGGCATAGCCGGCACTCGTGTCTTTTTCCGCACACTGTGCGCAAAAAGCTGGGCACGTGTTGCATAGAAAATTTTATGCAATAGTATGACGAAAAATGTCTTTTTTCGCACATTTTTTAGTGCGATATAAATACGTATAAATAACTATTATGTAACAAGTGCCCAAAAGGCGTTTTTGGGCACGAGTGTGCGGAAAAAGACACGAGTGCCGGCTACGCCGGCACGAGTGGGTGTTTTTTCCGCACACTGTGCGCAAAAAGCTGGGCACGTGTTGCATACAAAATTTTATGCAATAGTAGGCGAAAAATACGTTCATTTAAATGAGGCGTTTTACCGCACACCCGTATCCAAAATGGGGCATTTTACCGCACACAAGTGTCCAAAAAGGCTTTTTGCGCACTAAAAAATGTGCGAAAATAGTATATTTTGTAACAAGTGCGCGAAGCAGTTGACTCACCCAGGAGTTGTTTTCACCCGAGCGTAGCGAGGGTGCAAAGACTCCTGGTTGAGTCAACTTCCTCGCGGACTAGTTGCAAACGATATTTTTTAACTCTGCTTGCGAGAAACTAGGGTTTTCTGACGCTTTAAGGTTAGAAAACCCGTGTTTCGCGCACGCAGTGTTAAAAAAGACATTTTTCGTCATACTATTGCATAAAATAAAATACTAATTTTTGTGATCTGCTAGCCTAATACCACGGCCAAGCTTGCATAATGTATCCTCATTATCTAGATATCGTTAACAATTTCCACTTAAACATTTCATTGAAAATTAAACGAATGTTTGCACATTGAACTTTACGAGAAATCTGGACACTTGAAAATCGACTGATAATAGCAGTAAAAAATCAGCGATTTCGTATCGATGTAATCGGATTATCATAACGCAAATTCCAATAGGTCACTAATCTAAATTTTCTTTCTTATAATGATAATATAGCAAAGTGGCGTCTTCCCCGAACTGGCGTTTACCCCACTTTACCTTATCACATTCGAAGAGTTTTGCTCCGATCATGAACTTATCTCTAATATACATTTTGAGATTTATCTGGTATGCAAATGATTTCTATCGTACATTTTACTGATAAATTTTTGTTGACTCGTTCCTTTGATAGAAGTTTTTTGACTCATTTTGTACTTATAATAAGATAATGGTATTTTTTTTCGTTTTTAACCTCCTCGGATTTCTCAAGCTTTAATCGGGGTTGTTCTCGGTAATGGGCAGGTATTATCGTAATTGAATCTTTAGTTTTTTAACGTTATTTGCTCTCAAAATCTGTAAATATTTTTTCATCAAACTTTTCGATTTTAGGAAGAGACCTTAATGCTCTTTTACTTATATTCTTTGTAATTACTTTTCGTTAGCAATTGAACGCACTACTCGTATTAATAAAGAGACCCCGCGATTGCGATAGCTACTTGGCGATCGATGCATTCCCTATTTACCGGGGACTACACTATGCAATTAATATGGGCACTTGTACGTCATTAAAACTGCACCGAAATTGTAGTGAAAATTTAATTCACATAGGCCCATAATTATCCAACGCGTACGTGCTATAAATGAGTAGAAACATTCGCACAAAAGAAAAATATACCTAATATTTCGCACAAGTAATGTGCATAATGATATTAGATAGATACATGTTATTAGGAATGATGTTCAATTAGTCATTCACAGCGTCAGGTGGTCGTAAAATATCCAGGCCAGTTACATCCACAATTCAACAAAATGTATGGTCTTCATAAATAATTTTTTGATGTACAGAATATTTCATCAATTTTCATGCTGGAAAAATAGCACTCAGAAACAACTATTTTATCCAACAACAAAAAATGGAGTAAAATCGATTCAATCAAGCAAGAAAGTTTGAAAATAATATTTTTCCTCGAACAAGTTACGAAACGGAGTTGAAAATTAGAATCAAATACAAGAATAACGATACAAAAAGATACCAGAAAAAATACATGAATAAAATCGTCGACTCAACAGGTATCGCCACTTTGCGTTTGATTTGAGGCATTGAAAATACAATTTTTTATTAAATTTCTTTCTCCCCTCGTATAGTCGCACTTGCCTGAGAAATGATTTTTTTTCTTTCATACCAGGTCTTAGACAGCATTAAAAAACGTTGACAATAAGCTCGTTGCAAAAGCACATTCCTTCCCTCAAAGGCGCCAAAAGCTGGCGTCTTACTAGCGCAGCTTAGACGCAAATCCTGACAGAGCAGCTAAGGCATTAAGCTCAACACGCTGCTTTATTCTCTCGCGCGTTAACGCAAAGATTCGTCGAACAGACCGCACGTAAAGAAAGAAAAAAAAAAGAAGATGAAGAAGAAGGAGAAGTCGCCACGACCCCCACACCACTGCAGCATGTGAATTGCAAAGACGCGCGGTCGCTCGGTAACAACTAGAAAAAAGCTCGCGCGGTCGGTAGGTATAAGGCTCAAGAGCCGACTTGTACTATACGAGGCCACGGAGATATTATATTCCGCGTTCGCAGCATGGATGTCTAAGTGTCACATAAGTTTCGATAAAAAGCGCAGGGCATAAGTAGCTCTTCTTTCTCGAGTCTCGGCGTCATAAAAGGCCAATAACCAGCGTGGCACACAGCTATATAGCGACCCCCCGACGAGAGAGAGAGAGCAGATCAGCGTCTATGCATGTGAGCCCTTGTAAACTTAAAGTTTTCTCGGTGTAGCCGCGCGACCATTGCGTTATACCGACCATTTTCCTATATAGCAACTTCTGAACCGCGTCTGCTACCTTTCTTTCTTACGGGCTGCTCTTTTTCATCTCGACGGATGAGCATTTTTCTCATTTTCAAGCTTTATTTCTTAGGTTTTTTTTCCTTCTTCGACTTGGCCTTAACAATTTCTTTGTCGATAATCGGTCGAGTTTTTTCGGGCTACTTTCTAAGTGCTATATAATATCTTAATGTATCGCTTGCTCCGAAAATAAATATTCCAATAAATGTTCATTTAAAAATGTTACTTAATAAATTATTATTTTTTACCTTTGTCATCTATTCACATTATCATCGAAAAGTTCTCGTTTATTTATTTTATAATGTTTTTTCTCTACAAAAGCTTAAAAGGTTTTATAAAACAAATATACTCTCAGATGAAAGCACTTCAAAAGAAAAAAACAAACGGGTGAATTCACCAATTTATAAAATAGATTTGAAAAACTATGCAACTCGTGACATTTCATGTCGAGAGAAAAAATGTTATCGCGTCACTGAAATATAAAAATTAGTCAACATTTTTACGTTTAAAAATATATAAATATTGCAAAAATATAAATTGTCTTATTTCAAGAATACGAACGAGTAGAGGATATTGTTGATGAAAAAAGTAGCCGTCATATTTTTTCATAAATTATTCTAATTTTCCGGAAAATCATACTCCAAGCATTCATAGTTTACATCAAAATGGAAAATCAGAAATGAAGAGGGTCAATGACTAACCCGACAGGAATTCGTTAGTTGCTTAATTCGATGAAACTGGCTAGTGCGTGGCTTATACATTTATCGATATGCAATACCTGTTGGTTGAACTTTTTAAAGTAACTCAATTATCAGATACTAATTAAAAAGAGATACAAAATGCGATAATACAAATTACTAATTTTTAGTTAATTAATGATGAATAGATATTAATGCGAGTCAAAAACCTTACAACACTTTTTTCCTTTACCAGAAGTATAGTATAGTAATTTTGCGAGTAAAGTTTTCTGTTTCTTTTTTTACTGCTTCCCAAATACAATCGACATACTTTCGACCATGAAATCCATCATGGCAAATCTATGAAAGGAATGTCAGATACTGTTGGTGCGTTTAATTTGGAAAACTACGTATTCGGATTCGAGAACCAAAAATTTGAAATGCTTAAAATATATTCTAGTAGTTGAGATCAAATAACCGAAAATTGATTAAATTCCATTAAAAAAATGCTTTTGTGCGTAGTTAAAAACAAAAATGATACATTTTTGTATAGAATTCTTTTTTCAACAAAAAGTTCAATTTTGAAACTTGTTATGCTAAAATGAAAAGTGTTAGATAAACGAAACCAGGAATGGCAAATATGAAACAAAACAGTGCATCCGTATAACGAAGTTTATACTTTATTAACAACATAAGTGTGATGAATAAGTGTTATATCTTTTTCTATTTAAATAACTGTAAATGAACCTTAAAACTAATTCTCCAACTGATATTTATGAATGTATTCGTTTTAAATAGGAAATGTACCCAGTTTTAACAAAATATTAATCATCAGAGTCCTAAACTATGTCGAATCAAAGTTAGTACATTTTAATTGAATGTTTACGCACCGGTCTTATTTTTGCAGAACGAAGTAATTGCAGTAGCCTTAGAAGCCCTTTTAAGCAAAAATGAGGTGCCCTTACCAACTTCAACATCTCTGTAAGTATCTTTTCACCTCGTTATAATAAAGTGAAAGTTTTAATAATAGCGATTCATTTCTCATTGTTCACGAAATTATTTCATTCACCAGTGAAAAACTTCTCGACAACGTTGAAATTGAAGAAAACTATAATTTGCTAGAAGATATATATGAAACTCTCAATTATGATTGCGGTAAGATAATTCATTACTAAGCATGTTTATTTAAATTGTAGATAAATTTGAATCATTCGTTCACAAGAAAAAAAGTTAAATAAACACATCATATTTACTTATATACTTTACAATACTCACTTTTTATTTTGCTCATTATGAAATTTTTTTTCCAAATAAAATGCACCCTTTATTTTTATAATTTATTGTAATTCATAAATATTTTTAGATAAACAATAAAAAAAATTCTTTAACTATGGAAAGTAAAAATAGAAATCGTAGATGGATGTTTTTATTAGATAATCAGTAAATTTTCAATTATTTTTCATGAAAACGAGTCTTTTAATCCTCCTTACAACTGTAAAAAATATATACTATTAAATTATAGACAATTATTCAATGCTTAAGTACGTAGCACAAGCTTGGGGAGTGCGAATTAGCATCTGCTGGGCCGTTGAAGTCATGCATAAGTCGTTGAAGCCATAAATATGAGTATAAATCTTACACTCGCCTTTTCTGTTTCTTGTTTCTCTTCCTTCTTCAATGTTATCGTCGTAAAAGATATTTCAATGAAATACTTATTAGGTTTCGAATCTGCAAATACTACTTCTTCTTGAATATATTACAGAAGTTTAAGTATTTTCATCTTCTTTCCGTATCTATCAAATAAAAGTATATCGCACTTTAAATCAATTTAAATGATCCTTTCGTTTCATGCATTTTAACGCTGTTTTTTTTTCAATCCAATTCTAAACCTAAAATAGGATCGAATAACCAAATAATTTACTTTCTTATTTTTCCTGCTATTCGATATTCTCATTCGAAACTTTGTAATCAACTTTAGAAGGGATTTTAATCCCTTTGTCTTAGAAACGATACATTTAAGTGAGAATCGAATATCGAACCGAATACTTTTTTTAAAAAAAGGAAGCATTTAAAATCGAGGATTCGTGCATTAAAAGTTTAAAATTGCGTGAAAGGTTTTAACAAATTTTAAACATTACCTTAATGCAGGCTCAAGGCTTACAGTTGTAAAAAGCTTTAAAACTGTATTGAAACTTTTTCGACTTCGTTACGGGATTTAAATTGACGTGTAGATAGGCTTTTATTCGATGTTGTATATCGAATGTCTGAGAGACATTTCGCATGAATTAAACATCTAAAGCACTTGACACGATTTTCGCGGGTAAAAAAAATTTATATTCATGAAACTTCATATCCGCTTTCGAGATGAAAGCATCGCATTTGTATGTGATATTTAAATACTGTTACGCACATCACTGTCATTAGATTCCCAAAATCATTTTCCGTGATTAGATAGCCGGTACTAATTCAAATGCGACGTGTAACAAGGGTCGTTATTAAGCTGACTTTTCAAATAACACCCTTTACGACGAGCATATAAACATCGTTTGTTTACTCCGCATCAGCCACCTAAATCTAGACTCGCGAGCTTTATCGAGACGCGTTACTATCGTGCTGAAGGTGCGTCTTATATTTCAACGATTGAAGTATCAAATACGTGCGAATAATTAATGCTGTACTATACCGAATCACCAAGATTTTATGGCCGCGTGTTTCGTTGCATTGAAGAACCTCATTGATATATTGTTTGTTTTAATTGACTGAATAAGTGGTTTTACGAGGCGTAGATTTATAGTTATCGCATACGTGGGATTAAAGCTTTCTGTCACTGTATATGCTTTAGTCACGGAAGGGAAGGGACCAGCACTTTGATGCAATAATGGTGATTGATCTGAAATTTAACTGTACAATTTTTCTTCTCACTTGTATGGTTTCTTATTATCAAATTTTTATTATCGTTCAGCTGTTAATAAACCTCAAGATTTCAGTATGACTTATACCTAAAATTTCTTATCATTCGCGTGACTGTCGTACTTTTCAAATTCAAAAGAAAGAAATATATTCTCTATTGACGATTCCCAGATAGATAAGATTAACATTATATGATTAGTTTTTTATACAAATATTTTGACTTTGCCACTTGCAGATACACTGATAAGGGTACTCGCCATCTAGCGGTGGATGTTAGAGTGATATTATTGTATTTAGAAAATTATTAATGTTGCGTATCTCTATCCGGATTGAAAACTTTTGATAGATTAATCAGATGTATAATAGATGAATAGGTACATCATCAATGATAAATGTAAAAATTGAGCAGGAAAATGCGAACTGTCGATTTGGCTTGTGTTGGAAACATCGTAATATTTGCTGACAAAAATTAACGATTTTTAAATCGTTCCGAAGTTCCAGCTCTATTTGACTTATTAGTCAATGGAGTTTGATATTATTTGTTAACATGTAAAACAGCGACAGCACCCATAAACTAGGTATTGATGACTAAATCTTTATATGCTTGCCTGATTGAGCTTTCATGTTGACCGTCGCCACAAGCGATCAAAGAGCACTTCATAAACGTCCCATTAGGCGTAGACAAGGGCAATGATCGACGTGATATCAGTCGGTCCGCTGAGAGTTGAAGAGAAAGAGCGACAGAGTCAGAGAGAGAGAGAGAGAGAGAGAGAGAGAGAGAGAGACAGCGACAGCGATAGAGGGTGAGCGAGAGAGAGAGAGAGAAAGCAGGCAAGTACGCGCGCGCGTTTGTGCCCATGCTACGCTCCCAAGATGGCCCAAGTAACCATGAACATAATCAAAACTATGTCAATAGTTTTCACTCGCGCTGCACTGAGCTCGTGGTATTGGAGTAAAAGTCACTTCGCACTATTGTAATGAAATGATGCCACTTGAACTTGTAGCATAATTACCGACCACAAACCGAAACAATCAGACGTGACTCTTTATTTAAAATGTATTTTCATTGAAACAACGGGATTTTATTTTTTTCTTTCAAAATGATTGATTATTTTTTTTATAAACTTCAAGATAATAAAAGCTAGGTTTGCCCGAGCAGCTCTGGGAATATTTCAATGCATATCTCAGGTTTTCGTATCGAAGAGAGATTGATATTCATCTTTGAATATAAATCCACTTTCTTTAGAATCAACTTTATATCTTTTCCAATTCAAAAAATGATAAAATAAATTTATCACGGCATCGAAATCGCAAGGCGCACCAAATATTTTGATAAAGTAGATTAATTATACGACACTGAATAAGGAACTAATGAGATTAATTAATATTAAATTCAATGTAAGATGATGATCTTCTGGTAATTCAATAATAAAAGGAAGCTGGAGCTTAAAATTGCTTTAAGCACATTATGGATTATGTAACATTTATAGCAAGATTTAGCAGAGCAAATATAAGTTAATTTTTTATCCCTTTATGGTTCTGTACTAATTCCTCTTGATAATTAGTCATGCAGCTCAAATTTTTCATTCCTTCGATTCGATTAAAAAATTCACTCTTAGATTTATGGTAACGTGAAATCTGCTCGCCCAAAATTATTTTCCGAGTGATTTTTAAAAATACATCGCATTTCTCGGTCCGGTCTGTAGATTGGTTTTTCATCTCAGTGTCCTACTTTTCTCGTCTCTTTTTACGTATACGATATACGTATACAAATACATATACACCCTACCAGAATCAGAGTTCAGCGCTCATTCTATCTCGACAACTCGGATGGCTGTATTTCTGCGTTGTGTAAGTCAAAAGTAATAAAGAGTCAGGTTAGCGATTTAAGAGAATCAAAGCGGATGTATTTCAAAGGATATCTCGAGCTTATGAATCGAAGCATTCGAGGACTTATCAAGCACATCGAATTGAAAACAAAAAAGTTGACGAAGTTAATTACTGCCGACAGATTAATAAAACTAGTTATAAAAAAAAAGGGAGGGAGAGAGAGAGAAACGCGATAGTTAGTAACTGCGAGACAGCTATAGGGATCTTATACGTACTACGTAGTAAAACATTGCTCGATATTAGCTTTGAAATGGCATTGTCGAGGAAACAAATGGGTGTTTTTATAGGGCTTTTATTTCGCTCAGAACTGCGTCATTATTTTGATACATGTACGCCGTTTTACGAAAGAGTTGACTAATTGCTCGCTGCATCTCTCTCTCTCTTCCTCTACGGTATACAGAGGAGGGACGCGTCGAGGGCGGCCTTGCAGATGCCACGAAAGCGCTTGCCTGCGTTGTAATGCTTTATACACTACGCGAGGCGTATACACGGGGCTCTGGTCGTGTGCCATTATTCCGTGAGCATAGCAAGAGGCTGGCATGCAGGCAGGCACGAGGCAGGCTCTTTCTCTATAAGTGAGAGAGAGGCAACGTCGAGTTACTTGCATGCGCGTGTGTGGGTGTAGTATGTAAGGCAACTATTATATACACACACGCGCGTATGCATGTTTTACGAAAGTATAGTAGCTCATATAAAGCCAAGTTCCGACGACGTAGGGTCGACGTATAGGGCGTGGGCCGAGAATATGCTCGCCGCAGCAGTTTCGAGACAACGACGAGCCGGAGCTCGAGCGCTTGTTGAAGGCAGACCACAGCGTCCGCGATCGCTGTCGGTACCAGAGCACCAGAGCTAGCTATAATACCGCCGCTGCCGCCGACGTCGTCGTTGCGCTCTTCGGTCATCTCGTAAAGTTGGCCTCTCAAAAGTATACATACCTCCTCCCCCCCGACACCCTTCGCGCGTCAGTGCTCCCGAGTACCCAAAGTACGTATAGATATAGTACGCAGGTACATAGACCAAGCTCGCTTATAAGCTGCAGCTTTAGGGAACGGAGTGAGGCTGACACACGTATTTTATTATATACTGCACATTCTTCGCGCTTTTTTCCTCGAACGCGCTCCCGGATTTTGAGATGCAAGCAGGTATATGTGTGTATGCAGAGCTTACAGCATTTACCCGCGACGTAAAATCGTAACTCGCTGCTGCTGCTCCTGCCGCTCCATAAGTAAACTAACTCGTTCGACGATAGGTAAAAAAAAGTAGATGCTTCAGCTCGCTCGCAAGGAGCTTTCGCTAAACATGTTTTTCCTTGCACTTGAACACGAAAGAGAGAGAGAGAGAGAAAGCACCCCCTA